ATTAAGTAGCCGCCAGAAAGTTAAGTTTTACATCAACACATTCCGATGTTATTTATATAATTTGAAGTATAACGTGACTTTATGAATTTAAAGTAGCCTATTAGGTGAAATAGTTGTTTGTGAAATTACTATTACGCTAGTAATATGTAAATTACTGCCATCCTAGTCCACTGCAGTATGCATAAAGGCCAATGTTAACGTGCTTTTGGTTTTTAAATACACACGCAACCGAACTCTGGTGAGGAATTAAAGCGAACGTTAAGAAGCGCAATCCTATATGCATAAAGCTCTTAAGCACTCTTAAGGTTATTTGAACACAGTTTTGGTGGGTATTAACAAACAGAGCATGGTATTGAAAAAGCTGATATAATTAAATAACCACATAACTGTGGAATATCAGTAACGCGAAGCTTTGCTTACACTTGCTACGAGCATGCAAGCTATCCGGCCCCTCTGCAGACCGCAGATCAGCCGTAATAATCAGAACACGCCACGTCATCGTAGACACCAATTTCAACTCAGCCGTGTAGGAAGCAACGGAGAAATACTTACCGGAATGAAGTTTAATCTTGTAGAGGAGACACATTAACAGTGGCTGCTGGAAGCACCTACCAAAAATACCAAAAACGACTTGAAAGCCTTGGAAGTGAAGTTTGAACTTGAACCAGTGAGAGATCGTCTCGTGATTTGCATAGTTGTTATTTCACGTCGGTGGATCGGTGATCTGCGGGATAAATGGCACCAGTCTAAGGAGCAGAATTTCTCATGAAGGCCTTGGCTGATCAATACTCTCCGAAGACCGCTGTGCCTACGGAGAGATGCGATACTGAACGCGGGAACCTCGACGTGCAGCAGGAGGTAGAGCGGGACATAGTCGGATGTCGATATGTAAACAATATGCGTGTCCTGGACATGTTGGCTGGCGACTGAACGAGAGCATAAGTGAAGCGTCAGCATCTGCGAACTCAGACAAGTGCAAGTAAGGGTCTTTTATACTTCACGTATTAGAACGCGATTGGATAGATGAGAAGGTAATAATGACGTGACAATTGAGTCTTCCTGGCAGAACTTGCGCTACGCTTTCATATATATGACAACAATTATTCATTTTCTATATGAGTATACCTTTCTCATACACCTCATGCTTTTCCTTGGGAGCCAGTGAGCTTGACTGTTTTGTTTGAGGCATCCATAGTCTTCAGCTTCAGCTTCTTGATTGGCTCAAAAAACAGCTCCTCAGAAGAGCCACTCACAAAGCGATCTTGGATGAAAGCTTCCTTGGACTCCTTACCAGCTGCCTCCACACGTAGGACATCAAACTCCATCTCCAAAGAAGCAGGGGGACCAGATGCGAGGTTGTAGTGGTGCTCTTTGTCAACCAAGGAGCAATGGAAATTTCCAAATGAGAGGCAAGGCCTTCATGCAACCACAGAGGTCAAAGGTGTTGTGGACGTACTTCTGACCCACCTCCATCGTGGCCTCCTCAGACTGTTTTAGCAGCTGCTTTATGACTGAGTACTCTGTAAAAGGTTGGTTGATTGGGGCAAAGTAGTCGATGGTAGATCTTCAAAGGGGCTTGCAACAGTGGCTGGTACAAAGCCAGCAAACCCTGCAACAAGTTACTTTGATCCACTGCTTCCCACCACTCTGACAATTAACCAGACAAGATACTCTTGGATGCAGTTTGAGTAGACTTTGTTGTTTGCTGTGGGCGGAGTAAAAACTGCTCCCTCAGAAAATTTGGGGCTGACTCGGCTATAGATATGGACAGTGTTTAGGGTCTCAGGTATGTCTACCTTAAAGGGATAGTTCACTTTGAAATTAATTTTTGATATGTTTTAGCTTACCTCAAGGGCATCCAAGATGTAGGTGTCTTTGTTTCCATAGTATTTTCAATTTTGATATTTTTTGGTTAAACCGTTGTTGTCTATCAGTCATACACTGGAGGTTAAGTATGAAGGTAAAAGAGTAGCAATACACGAGAGCTCGTAAGTTGTGAGATGTGAGAACTTGTACAATAAATATTCACACTTGTATGTGAACATTTACACTGACAGCTCCAAAGTGAAAACTTGTAAAATAAAAATCTGAAGTTGAATGTTGAAATTTGCACTTGCAGACAGTCACAAACCTGTATTCTGAATCTGAGGCTGCAGACAAGCAGTCACAAATGTGTAAAATGCCATTCACAGAAATACAATGACAGTCACAAACATCTAAAATATTTGCACATTCTTACATTCACATTTGCAATACAACCTCAATTAGTCACTTGCAACTTCTCAAATCTGTCACTGCAAGTTCAAATTTTGCACCTTGACTTTTGCGACTCTTTTTGCGATATATGAGATGCAAAACTAACTTTGTGCACTTGTAACTCAGTCGCGGCGAGAGCGGTAGGGGGGCGGGAGTGGGGGTGTTCAAAGGAGCCGTTTTATTGGTTGGCGGCTAGCCAATGAAATGGGACTTCTATTGAATGCGATGTCACAATGTCACGAAACCCACCTCATCGTGGATGTTCTGAAACGCTAACATGGCTTAAATGACAACTCCGGCGCAAAATGAACCTTTGGTCTAATTACACATTGCTACCTAGTCAATTTTGTCAATCTGAGATTTGTTTTCATGATTGCTGAATGTAAATAGTGTTATCTCTAAAAACAGTTTAGCCTATGACGCTAGTATAATGCTAGTATATAGGGCATAGAGTAATGACAAATAAAAATCGCTTGTTATTACCACTAACAAGGCTCAAAATAGCCCCACACTAACACGACAGCATAATAAGTGTCCCTACATTCAAATCGAAGCATTGAGATCTTTGTCAGTGTCCATACAGTTTAATAAGAAGATATTTTATACACACAGTCAACTTCGCGAATACAGGAAGAAGCCATCTTTGAAAAATAGTCTCTACCAGTCGATCTACGAACGCCGATCCATGTGCGCTGAACTGTGCAGAATATCATATGGTCCGTTGTTTTCGGAAGAAACACAAACATGAACCGTTTTCTTCTCTTCAGTATGTACACATAGCCTACTGTTCGCGCTCACCTTATCACCTTATTCACATCTCACCAGCGCAGATGGATGGCGTTCGTAGATGGACTGAGACTATTTTTCAAAGATGGCTTCTTCCTGTATTCGCGAAGTTGAGTTTCTAACGATACAAAGCTTAATACAAATGGGTGAAGTGTCCCTTTAATGTAGAGCTTAGTGGAGGTGAATGTTAATTTCAAACGCAATAGAACATTAACCTGTCAGTGCCATTCACTGGACATTTCATTTCCGAACTGTCAAGATATGTACAACAAACAACGTAACAAAACATTGCCAAATTCACATTCATCTATTTCAGATGAAACTGAACGCGCTTTTAGTGACACTCACTGGACATTTCACTTTGAAAGTGCCGTGAAATTTGCAAGGAGCACCGTAATATTATATTCTGGGAACCACTCTCTTTTCCATGTGACATTTTTGCATTCCAGGGGAAGATGGCAATGACAATGCCCATTTCCCCCCTGTATTTTCTTCCCATTTTTTATCACCTGTGAGGGTTTGCATTTCAATTATGTACTCAGAGACATAGGAAATGTATGGTTGTAATATGATAAGAGAAAGACAAGAAATATATACTAAACTGCACGTGTGATTAAAGGGGTGGTTGATTGCGATTTCACTTTTTTCATTTTAAATAGTGTGTAATGTTGCTGTTGGTGCATGAACATTATTTGCGAAGTTCCAGCGCTGAAAGTTCAGTGTGAGCAGAGATATCGTCTTTTAAAAATCAGGAAGTTTAATGCCTACAAAAACGACTCGAATGGGACTACAACGGGTTTTATAAAAAACTAACCCATACATTTGTATCAATATGTAAATAATGAATATATAAAAAAGGGCATGGCCATATTTCTACAGCTCATTGAAAGTGTGTTATTTTCACCCAGCTGTCAGGTCTTCTGTGGTCTGGCTTCCCATGGATGTTGTAGTTTGTCTACAATGGATACAATTTATGTTTGATTATGTTCCTGAAAATTACAATCGTAATTTAATCGTAATTTGGCTCTCTGTGCTGCGCATTTTACGAAAGACAGCTTCCAGAATCTCCACAAATTCAATGCCGGATTCAACAAGAAACTGTTACTAAAACATGAAGTAGTTTCAACTTTAAAACCAGAGGCAGCAGTTGCTGGGCCACAACCTGTAAGTAGGCTAAATCATTTTAAATGAATTTGCATGTATAATTTCAGACGTAATGTTTTAATTTTATCAAATGCCAGTGGCTTTAAAGCCACTTAGTTATGCTGTTTCGTGTCTACGACAAACTCGTACAAACATTTTGGACCTGAATTTGTATATGTACTAATTTTGTAAATGTATATATATATATATATATATATATATATATGACGTTATTTTTCGATTTGATCAAGAATGTAAGCCAATGCCAATGCTGTTTGTGTAGTAGCCAGTCAGTTCGATGCTATTGGGTAAAACAAACATGTATAAAGTAAAAAAAAAAATAGACAAATTACTATTCAGAAACGTTTTGTAAGAGCCGTGTTTGGGGAGGTTCCACTTTCTGGGTCTGATTCTGGCTACTGATACTGCAGTATCGACACCATTATGTACATTTGACAGGAACACATATGCAACTTTCGCCTGTAAAGGTAATGGGAATGAAGTATCCGGACAACGTACACTACACAGTTCACAACACACCGGCCCAAACTAACCAATCTGAGCCTACTACCTGTTTCTGAGGGAGTGGTTTTTATAGAATCAGGATGTAAACCGGTCGTTCAAATGAAAGAGGAGAAAGCGGCTTACAATAAAGGTGAAATTTATGAAAAATAATACTTTTAAAAAAAGAAAAACCACGAATACATGTTATATTGCACCCCATAAACACAATCATGCAAAGCAAAAAAGCAGTAAACCACCCCTTTAAAAAAATAATAAAAGTGTTAATGTTTCCTGGCATCAAATTACATTCATCACACTTTTTTTGTTTCCTTTATTGTTTTAACACATAAAAGCATCACAACAACAATATACAATTTTATTTAATTAAAACACATTTACACATGCAACATTAGGGTAAAGACAATGAGCAACTTATTGAATAATTAATTTCGGAATGTGTAGTTTACTGTGTTGTGAGAATTAAAAATAAAGTCACTAATCTTAATGTTCACAAAAGCTCTTAACTGGCTCTCTACCTACCTTTAGGCATTTTTTTTTAACCAAAACTAAGTGGAATGCAATCGAACTTTGAGAGACTATACAAATAACCTCAAAACACCTTCTCTCAGTCTTACCAGACTTTTAAAAGTGCGCCGTGGCAACAAGATAATGTGCCCTGCACTGCAATATGCCACACAAAATCAGCACTCCTGAACATAAAGAAACTGGCTTTTGTTTACTGTTCGTACATAGTGTGTCGATTACAAAACATCACATTAATAACAGAGGTCACAACGTGTCCTCTCAAACTGGTTTAGGTGAAAAGAGGTATTCTTAAGATCATTCCAGAGAAAGCTGGAATATGATGACAGAGACAAATTACCTTTATGATTATTGCTCCATCTAAATATTTATGTAGTGTTTTAAAGAGGTGTGTGATCCCTTTGGCCAATAGCCCATCAGTTGACATTATTTTCTCCTGTTTGTAATGATTGTCTACTCAGTTCTTTACAAGAATGGCTGCAACTTGCACAACCAAGACACTGAAACACATTGATAGACACTGAAAAATATACATTATGATGCTGCCAAAATTACAATATTACTTACACAGAAAATAAAATTACAAAGGTTTTTTTTTCCCACCCTCTCTCATACTCTCTCATGTGATCCACAGTCTGGGTTTCATTTTGGGTCCCTGTTGCCCTGCAAGTTCCTTTTGTAGAAAGTCTGTGACCACTGCGGATGTCACTTGGTTCAGAGTCCTAAAAGAACCATCGAAATGCTTCCCCATTGTTTACCGGTGTTCTCTAGAGAAAACACAAAAGGAAAGTAGAGAATCAGCCCCACATTAGTTAATGCATTAAACGTTGCTATACTTCATCATATTGCTACATTAATCCAAATGTTAACCAGAAAGTCAAATAAGTCTCTTTGCTTATTAGCATATTCAATCTGCAACTGACATAAAAGAAGACATGAAGAGTTCAGATGCAAAAGCCTCTAAATGCCATTTGCAATTTTCTTCTTTAAAGGAACACTCCGACTTTTTGGGACTTTAGCCTATTCACCTTACCCCCCAGAGTTAGATAAGTCCATACATACCTTTTTCATCTCCGTGCGTGCTATAAGTCTGTTTGACGCACCCACCGCTAGCCTAGCTTAGCACAAAGACTGGATGTTGTGATTTGTATAGTCACATAATGTACAAATAACAAAGTCAAATGAGACACAGACATCTTTTAACCGTATAAAACCTGGGAACTATTCTCTGAAGGCGAAGCACTGCTACTTTGACGGAGTGATAACCGCATCACCTGAGACACGCCGTGGTGAGGAGCGGAGAGTTCGCTCAGTGTTTGGGTAACAGAGTCAGTAATTTATAAATAGTAAAAGCGTAGTTTAGAGTCATGGGTTTTCGCTCTATTGTAAATAGCTGCGACTGTAAACAGGGGAGGTAATCATGTTTCACAGAATTCCAACTAAAAACGCTGACTGGATGAAGAAATGGCTAACTTACTCTGGATATTTATCCAAACACACCTAAATAGATTATCAAGGGACATTATGTTTGCTCGGTACATTTCAATAGACGACTATTTTGAAAAAATGGAATTTGCCACACGGACCATAATGTGCTGAAGGATACGGCCATCCCATCGATAGCACAGACAGGACAAGTGGATCACCTGCGGCTGAGGTAAGTGTTCCGTTATGTTTTTAGATGACCTACTGTAACAGTGCCATTAGCCAGAGCTAATGTAACGTTAGTGACACTATTATATGATTAGGGTATGAATATGTTTTTATCTTGATGCTGCGCGGACGCGCTTGGAAAAAAAACGAGCGCGTTCACCGCGTTGAACTTGCACCCTGCGCGCGGCGCGCCTAGTAGCCTAAATTTGAAATAACCATGGAAATAACGAACTTGAGCGTGCAAAAGGGTACGATAGGCTGTGAGTTCATTGTGCAAAAACAATTTGTGCTATTACTTTCCCCTTATTCTATCCTATAGTAATGCAATTATACTGTAAATTATATAGGCTACTGTTGAATACATTTGGTTCAGCGAATAAATTGCATTTAAAATATATTGATTCCTGTAATAATAATTATTTATTCATGTGATATTTATAAATCTGGGTGCATTTTTGGTTGGAAATCAATGAAACATGGTACTGTATTACCTGGTCTCCCCTGTTTATTGTCACAGCTCATACAATAAAGCAAACACCCATGATAAACTATGCTTTTCTATCTAACGTTAGTAATTGCTGACTCTTTACTCCAACACTGCGAACTGCTCCTCGTCACGGTGCGTCTCGGTGCGTCACGGTCTCGGGCTCAGGCTGGACGGTCACGGGCTCTGGCTGGACGGTCACGGGCTCTGGCTGGACGGTCACGGGCTCTGGCTGGACGGTCACGGGCTCTGGCTGGACGGTCACTGGCGTTGGCTGGATAGGGCTGGACGGAACCAGCGGTGAGGGGAGCTCAGGTTTGGGAGGGCTGGACGGAACCAACGGGAAAGAGAGTTCATGCTCGGGAGAGCTGGACGGAACCAGCGGAGAGGGGGGCTCGAGCGGTGGAGTGGGGCTGGTGCCGTCATCGATGGTGAAGAGAGATCCGCAGGACACCAGCACCCACTCCACATACGCTGCGAAACTCCCCAGGGGACCGTTCCCGCACAACTGCTCTCTGGTGGCGGTGTTGAGGCCAGCATATAGAAAGCTGCAGAGGCTGTCGTCCGGGAAGGTTGTGGCTGGAACGAGGGAGAGGAAATCCCTCAAATGATCCTCCAGGGACCGGTCCTCCTGCTCAAGGCAGAGTAGTTGAACCGCCACGAAGGAATCCATGTTTTGGGGGGTCAGTCAATCTGTCCCGGTGTGGTTCTGGCAGAGGAACGAGGAGTCCGGAATATCGGTGAAGATAAGTTTTAATATATATAAACAGGCAGGAAGACAGGAACACCGGCATCACACTGATGAGGGAGTGAGTTCAGGTGTGCAGACGAGAGGATCATGGGAAGTGTAGTGCTGGAGACGCAGACAGAACGGTGCAGACGAGACTGAGACAACTTAAATATACAAGCTTGATAAAAATGATCATTCTAGAAGAAAATTTCAAATGGCATTTAGAGGCTTTTGCATCTGAACTCTTCACATTGAATCCTACATCTTGTTAGGTATGTATCCTGTTTGAGTATTCATATGAACAAATCAATTTCTTTCTCAAAACAGGTCATACAAATACATTTCAAAATTATTTTTAGTTTCTCTTTACAACTGCAAAATTAACCACACTTCCCAATTGTATTGGGTGGGAAAGACCACGGGATAGAAAGATTAAAGGGTTAAGATGAGCCTTTTCTTTAGTTGTTTTTAGGTGAACCATACAGAAAATATAGAGCTTATGCTGATTTCATTCTTTCTGTGTTAAAGTAAATCACATGTTCAGTGTAGTAATTATGTAATTTACTGATTATATTATAAAATTATATAAGTTTCATTGGTGGTCGTTTTTATTCAAAATAAATAAACATCATTAGATCATCCTGTACAAGCAACCTGATAGATTTATCCAGCAAGCAAGTGGCGAAACGTGACCAAATGTAATTACAAAAGGTTAGAGTTGTTTCATTCAACATTCAAAACCTGGTTTCACTTCATCACAATTGCTTTCTTTCAGATGTGCATGGACTTCACCATTTAACATACTAACCACTATAAAGGGTGACAAACTGAATAATAATAACAATTATTATTATTATTATTATCATTATAAAATCTTAATCAATAATAATCACCACAAATAAATAAAGGGTGACAAACTGAAAAACAAAAATAATAGTAATAATAATAAATGATATTTTATTTAATAATAATAATCACCACAAATAAATAAAAAAATGACAAGAAATTAGTAAACGGTAAAAAAATAAAGTAACCTACACATTTTATTGAAACGGTGCATTGCTGGGAAATCGAGAACTGCATCTATCACCGAGGCATTCCAGAATTATTGAAACTCAAAACTTCTTACATTTGAACTTGACACTCATGTTCACACTTGACATTCCAGTTTGCACTCAATGCCAAAAAAAAAAAAAAAAAAATGTGGTTATTTGAGTCTATTTTGTTGTGCTTAATGAAAACTGACATTTGAACTTGTCACCTCTTACTTGAGTAATAAAGATGTGGCTAGACCAACGCAGATCTTTTTCTGAAGGAGCTGAGCTCCCTGAACCTCAAAGGTCCATTAAAAAAAGAAAAAAAGGAGAACCATTTTTCACGATGAGCAGCTAAAGAGTATTTTAATGAATGTTCTGAATCATAGGGGGTAAAGCACAAAATCATCCAATATCCTAGCCCAAGGGTGCAGGATGATGATATCTTCAATAAGAGCAGGAGAGGAATAGAAAGAGACGGGCACAAAGAGGAGTAATTCTCTTCTCACGTATATGTAACTGCCAACCACACACACAAAAATATAATCCCAGTGTTTTTCTAAAAACTAATATATATATATATATATATATATATATATATTGAAAAAGTAACCACTGAAATAAATGTGGCTTATATTCCTACATTGATCAGTCCCTAGTAAAAATGTGGCTCGTTGTAGACAGTAATGACCCTAATGTGCGTGGCCGGCATGTCTGCGTTTTGTTAAGTCTCGCACTATTGATCTGGTTGAGGCTTCCTGAGTGCTGCTCAAATTCACTTCCAGCCGTCTCTCCTCGCCTCACTGCTGTGACCAGGCACAAAGAGAGCTCAATTAGCACAGCTCAACGACGGCTCTCTCCTGCCTGCGCACTCCATCAAAATCACTCCATCAAACCACCCAGAGACCAGAGAGAGGGAGGGGGAAGAGAAGGTGATTGGGGTGGGGGGTTAGTGATAGAATGAGGACATGCAAGTAACTTTGAGGTTTTATTTCCAATCAAAAGATGTGAGGACAAATACATGGGTATACATGTATATCATTCTGCATTAAAAGATCCTTTGTCACCTAGCACTTTGAATGCAGCACATCACCGGTTGGACTTCTTTGATACCAACGCATTCTCACCCCAAGGCGTCACCTTTGACCATGCTTCAATATTTGACGTTTTAGGCGCCCTTTAGCGTCACTTACATGACGCGATCCTATGGCGTCATCTAACTGACGCTAAAGGGCGCCTAAAGCGTCAGATATTGAAGCATGTCCAAATGCTTCCCAAGGCGTCAGTTAAGTGACGCCTTGGGGGTGAGAATGGGCTGTTGATACTGCCTTTTACCTGCAGAGGCGGCAGTGGCTCAGTGGTTCACGTAAGTTGTCTACAAACTGGAAGTTTGTTGGTTCAATCCTCGGCTCCACCTGACCAAGTGTTGAGGTGTCCATGAGCAAGAAACCTAACCTCAGTTTCTCCCGACCAACTGGATGGCGCTTTGCATGGCTGTCACCACCAAAGGTGAGTGAGTGAGTGAATGGGTGTATGTGAGGCAATATATAAAGGGCTTTGGTGGCCATTGGGTCAGTGAAAGCACTATATAAATGCAGTCCATTATCATTTTACAATTTCTGTTATTATGATTAAGCATATCTAACATATCTGTATGTTATATTTTTTTCTGGTAACACTTTTCATCAAGGTTGTATTACATCAGTTCATATATTAACCATGAGCAAGGCATTTGTTAATCTTTTTTGTTAGTGTTACTTAAAAATACTGCTGTTCACAGTTTCTTCATGTTACTTCACTGCGAGAACTAATGTTAAAAAATACACACATACACAAACATGTTGGGTTTCCATGTTTTATGCGGAC